AGTCGCTCAACTTCTCCATGGACACTACCGGGAAGAGTCACGAGGTTTCCGATTTAATCGTTGTCTTCTTCTTCTTTCCGCTTTCTTCTTTGCACTCGTTAACCACTTTTTTTTACTGAATCTGTTTTGTATTTTCTTAGGTTGAAGCAATCTCGACGCCTATGGAGATAGCAGCGCTAAAGGAGGACAAGAAGCGGAAGAATCGAGAGGTACGATGCACCAACTCTCATGGTTACCTGTTTCGAATCCTTATAACTCATCTCCTTCCTCGTATCTTATTCCAGGAAAGTGATGAAGATAAAATGACTCTCTTGAACAAGGTTAGTGTTTTTTTGGGTTAGTTTCAACATACAGTAGTCTTAAAGGCGTTTTCTCCTTAGACTGAAGATGCTGCTATCTCCAACTCGTTCTGTATTTTTCTCCTTTTCGTAGTAGTTTCATTTTCTAATCAAAGAACTCTTGTGATTAGTTTTTGCTGCATTTTATATTTTTTTCTAATGCCATGGCAGAAACTAGATAAAATATGTCATTGTCTAAACGAGCTGACTGAAAGTGTCAAAAAACTTCAGAAGAATTCAAATCTACCTGAGATTTCATCAATGGTATGTGTTTTCTTTTAAATGTTCTACATATGCGTTTAGCAGGACTATCTCTTTGCTTACAGCTGTTGTAATTGGATACTTTTACACTCTATAACTGATCTGTTTATTTAATTTAAACAATGTCTATCTGTAGGACGAAGAAACTCCAAAGAAAAAGGAATATGTGTGTTTATTCGACAGTGAAGGTTCAGATATGAAAAACAGTAAGACCATATTCGTCAAGGGGTTCGATTGTTCCTTCCCTATGGATGTTATCAAGAGGAAATTAAGAGAACACTTCAGTACTTGTGGAGAGAAGGTCTCAAGGGTGTTTCTTCCGTACGAGTGTAAAACCGGTTCTCTCTTAGGGTCTGTGTCTTCTTGCTCTTCTTCCTCCAAGTTGTGTTAAATGCAAATTTGAAAATATTGTTTTTCTGGTCTCAGAATATGGTTTCAAATCTTGTTCTTCTTTTTTCAGATATGGTTTCGTTAATATGTCAAGTTATCCAGAGAAGGCGTTGGCACTGAATGGAAGTTACTTGGGAAAGATGAAGCTTATGGTTACTATGGGTAGAAAGAGAAGCGAGTTCTATGGCTATAGAAATTTCAGTGGTTGTGAATGTTGTGTTAGTGCATTGGCGGAGCGCCGTACGAGAAAATTCCATGAGAGTTTCAGAATGCGATTCGGCAAAGGCACATTATTTTTCTCTTTATGATTGAATCTTGAGAAGAAATTAACTCTTCTTTTAATTTGAGGTTATCTTTTGTTTTTTTGATATGGCAGGCAGTTTTTTTAAGGAAGACAGACACGTCGGGCAGCTCCGAACAATATGAAGAAGCAAACAGCTAATATTGGTTACTTTTGTTTAGCGACCAGCTACATGAAACTTATGTGTGTTCCAATAAGTTGTATTATGGGATGTATTGGTGTTGCATCTGATGAAACTATTTTATGAAACTTTTGTGTGTTCTAATAAGTTGTATTATCGGATAATATTGGTGGTGGTATTTAGTTGCATCTATTTTATGAAACTTTTGTTTTTTTTTATCAATTTACATATATAGTCGACTTAGTGACTTGTGCTCAAGTTGGTTTGGTAATATTGACAATGGCTAAAAATTGAACACACTGGCTCTTCTTCTTCTTGCCACAAAACGGCAGCACGTGCACGTGCACGTTTTATAAACCGCCCCTACTGGTTGTTATTTGCATTTAAGAAAACTGCGATTCTCTGTCTCGCCGGCGATGTGGTGATATCAGATCCAGATGATGATCTCGACATGCTCCGTTTCTCCACTTCGTTCTTGAAATTTTGGACTAGTTGTACTAACTAGAGTGGTTATGGTGGACGCTTTGATTGCAGGTAATGCTACTTGCTGTTCATGTTGGTGGAGCCATTCTAGTCACTAGCACCGTAATCATATATATCTCTGCCTGGAAGCTCGTCTTTTCGCTATTTTCCTTTCTATTTGCTTGCTGATACTCTTCATGATGCTTCCTTGTGCAGCCACAGAGAACTTAAAGCCTATCGTCCGCTGCATGATTGTCCTGGATGTAATAACCTCCAGGTCTCATTCTCTTGTTCCTTTGCTGAATCTATGGGAGTTTGTAGCTTGTGTGATTTACTTTTGGTTTTCAACTAATGCCTTCAGGAGGAGGTGTCTGCTTCCTCACTTGCTGCTGTGCACTATGATCCAGATCTAAAAGTAAGGCTGCAGCCTCTAACTCTTCTTTCTCTGACTACAATTATATGCTTCCTGCTTTTAACAAATTTGTTATCTCAGGATGTGAACATAGTTGCCACATACAGTGACCATTATGGCAATATACGGCTTGGTAGGGTGAAAATGGGGGATCTTTCATCTTCTTAGGTTTTGGACAATCCTGCCAAGAAACAAGGTTCGCAGGTACCAAATTTAATGTTTGTTCACGACTGGTTTTCGGCTTTAACAAGGTTTAAGAACAGAACCATAGGTCCCATGGACATGGAAATAGAGGAGACAACTTATAGTGTGTCAAGTAGTGATTACTTAGCACTCTCACTGGTAGAGCAATTGAATACCTCTTATGAACTTCATTTGACCTGCTTATGAGATTCCTCGCAGAAGCTAGGATGATCTTACAAGTTTCTTTTCATTTCCTTGGTTCATCGTTAAGCTTTCCTCATATTCTCTGTATCCCGGTTGCTGACACTTTTTTTTATGGAATTAGCTAGTGATACCACGGGATTCATTTCAAAATGTTTCTATAATGGAAGGGAGTGCAAGTCATTCTACAACTAATCAGTCTGGTGAAAGCGAGAATCAGTTTCCACATGTGAAATTTACAAGCCCGGCGAAACTGAAGCGTCATGTAATCTGTCAAATACCCCCCCTTCTTTTTGTAATCTCTGTATGTGTTGATTATACTTGACTGGGATTGTAACAATTGTATACCCTTTTAGCTTTTACGCTGATGCTATCTTGAAGCTTATGAGAGACCAGATCATAATGGCAAAAGCATATGCAAATATTGCCAAATCAAAAAATGCAACCAATCTTTGCGTTTTCTTGGTGCAGCAGTGTGGAGAAAATCAACGTGTTATAGGAAAAGCAACCTCCGATGCTGACCTTCCTTCAAGGTACTTCTTTAAACTCCTCTTGTTAGTATGGATGAGTGAGAGTAATTTTTGTTGAAATTTTTTCATCCCTTTTTTCTTCGCTAGCGCACTTGATCAAGCAAAAGCCATGGGCCATGCTCTCTCTCTAGCAAAAGACGAGTTATATGACTGTCATGAACTTGCAAAAAAATTCCGGGCCATGCTTCAATCCACTGAGCGCAATGTAGATGGACTGAAGAAAAAGGGCACCTTCTTGATTCAGCTGGCCGCCAAAACATTTCCCCAGCCATTGCATTGCCTGAGTCTGCAGCTAGCGGCAGACTATTTTCTTCTCGGTTTGAATGAAGAGGATGCAGTAAAAAAGGATGCCAATCGAATAAAGTTTGAAGATCCTTCTCTCTATCACTATGCGATCTTTTCTGATAACGTTCTCGCTACATCAGTTGTGGTCAACTCCACTGTCCTGAATGCAAAGGAACCGCAGAAGCATGTGTTCCATATAGTAACTGACAAACTGAATTTTGCTGCAATGAAGATGTGGTTTCGCATCAATGCTCCTGTTGATGCGACGATTCAAGTTGAGAACATCAATGATTTTAAGTGGCTGAACTCGTCGTACTGCTCTGTTCTACGGCAGCTTTAATCCGCAAGGCTGAAAGAATACTATTTTAAAGCAAATCATCTTTCATCAATCTCAGCTGGCGCGGACAATCTCAAGTACCGTTGGAGTTCCGGATCTTCGATCTATAATCTCTTCGGTGTCTGGGACAATCCGATGATAATACTACGTTTTATAATTTGATTGTTTTTTTTACCCGTAATAGTGCAAAAGGAAAGTTTCTAATTTGATTGTTAAACCGTATTTATACGCTATTCGTGATTACATTTAAAGGTGGTTGATTAAAATATATATTAGTATTATAGGTCGTTGATTAAAAACAAGAATTATAGGTCTTTATTTTGCTAAAACTGATTCCCATAAAGAGAAAAATAAATATTTTAATTACTTTTTCTGTTTTGTATATACTACTAGTACTAGACAAGTACATGCACTTTGTGCGGAACAACAATATTGAAAGATTCGCAATTTAAGATTGTAAATTGAATAGTCGTGTGTCAATATTTTGAGATAGACTACTCAAATCTGGTGGGTATCATCACGTCTCTAGAGGATTGGTATGATTTTGTTATTTTTTTTTACTATTAGAGAGTTGCATGGTCAACTATCCCAGATTTCTTTATTTTTAATTTTTTTTGTTTTCTTAATTTAAAGACAGAAGATTATATATTTTTTTCTATTTAGCTAGTTGGATGACAA